AGCCCTCGCCCGTGGCAGCGCAGATGGAGTTGGAGACGCCCTCGAAGGGCTGCGCGATCGCGGTTTTGATATACCAGCATTCGTTAGGACGCGAGCCTTGCTGCGCGGCGACGATGCGAAGCTCGGCGTAGGCGGCGCCACCTCGCTTGTGCAATTCTGCCCTCCACAATGTCAATGGTTATCTCTGCCCTCCACATCGCCGCTGCCAGGCTCGCTTCAATACTGTTCGGGATCTCGACCTGGGCCCAGGGGGCCGCTGCGAGCGCGTCAGAATTCCCGAGGCCGGGCGGGGCGACGAGCGGTAGCCTCTGGATGGCAGGGCGCCGTCGGGCGGCTCGAAGAGTTAGCCGACGTAGCCGAGGCCGGCGGCGGCAGCGACGTTGCACACCTTGATGCACTGCTGCAGCGGGGAGCGCGAGATGGCCAGCTTCGCGACGCGGTCCCACCACTGCACGGACGGGCCGCGCCACTGGTCAGCAAGCGTGGCGCCAGGGCCGATGAAGAAGCTGAATTAGGTTGCGCGCCTTTGCTTCGATCCTGAAGCCTTGCACGGCTGGCAGACGGCTGCCAAGACTGGCGCGCCTCGGCGACGAGTCCTGCGAGTGGGAAGTCGGGGCAACGATGCCCCCCCCGGCTTGCTGGCGAAGCACTGCGAGCGACCTGGCGGAGATCAGGCGGCATGCGGCGAGCTTTTCGACGTCGCGGAGCCTGGCAAGGATGACGCCGAGGTCGTCGGCGCAGGCACCGAGGAGGCATCGGCCGATGAGCCGACGCTCGCGGCTGATGGCGGAATGAACGGAACGAAGACGAGCGCCCAGATGGCGCCGCTCAATAGGCAGCCATGCGCGACGCCCAATGCTGCGACCAGCAAGGGCGACGCAGTCCACCCGAGTCCAGGTGGGCGACGAGCCAGTGGTAGCACGCATTCAGCAGCTTGATCACGCTGCAGTGGATGCCCCAGAGCACGAGGAACTCCCGCATCCACTGGTGGCCCAGGCGTGGGATGGCCGCCGCGATGTCCACGCTGACGAGGACGGACACGTCGGCGTCGACCATGGGAGAGACGCTGCGTCGACGAGCCTCGGCGTCGACAATAACTGCACTGGCCAGAGATTGGCGGCCGTTGACGATGCCTGGCTGCGCGGGCGCTGTCTGGGCGGTCGGTCGATGGGCCCGACGATTGGCAAGTGAGGCCAGCAGCTTCACGCTAGCGATCCTCATTTAAAAAGGCCGAGGGCAGTCCGGGGGCGCGCGCGCAGCCCCAAGCGCCCCTCCCCCCGCTCCCCCCGCCCCTCTGGCGCAGGGGGCCAGGTGAGGCATGTCTGCAGAGTCGAGGAGGCGCCTCGCGCATCGGTCGCCACAGGCGGGGTCGAAAAAGTAGGCTGGCCTCGCACGTGCACGGGGCTGTTTCTGCATACGCGGGCGGATGCCGAGGCGCACGGTTCCGCGGTCGCTGGCGGGCCCCCCCGTTGTCCGCGAGCGGCGAGTCATCGGCGACGCAGACGGCGCCCATCATCCACATCAAGTGGCCAGGGAGGTCGGCGAAACAACGGTCGACCGTGAATTCGCCCAATTTGGGCTTCAAAACCGCGCACGGTCGACATCGCGGTCATGTCGATGACGCCGCGGAACAGGGCGCGCCAGTAGAGCGGCTGGCACAGGTACCTGCGCGCCGCCGCGGCGTCCGCATCGACAGGGGCACTGGCAGGACGGGGCGGGAACTCCGAGACGTTGACGTCGCCGACGATCGCGGGCGCCAGTTGCTGCGGTAGTTCGTCAGCGCGGACGCGGAGTGCGAGCCATTCTGCTTGCTGTAGCCGACGATCAGCAGGAGGGCGACCATGGTTGCGGATGTGGAGGATGGTGACATCACACCGAAGGCTGGGATCCGCGACGCGCAGCCAAGCGGCTCGGCCAGGGATGGCGACCTCAAACCTGCGTTGGGGCCGTTGCTCTGGTGGGATTTGGGGTTCGCCTGCGTCGCGCGGCATGAGGAAGACGAGACGACGCCACCCGCGCCGGTGACGGGCAGGCCGCCCACGATCACAGGCGAGTGGAAGGGCTTATCGGCGTGCTAAGCCGAATTCGCCATCAGCGGCGTGTCCTCGACAGCGCCGCGCGCTCCTCGAAATGCTGGCAGAGCTTGCTGGAGGAAGCAAGGAAGAAGAAAAAGGCGCCTGTAGTCACAGCGTTGGTCAGACCGTCCGAGAATCGCTCGAGTACTCCGCACAAGCGACGCACAGGCCCTGCTGAGGCGGTTTCGGGAGCCACTGGCTCCAGCGATGGCCAAAACCCTGCAAGGCTGTGACGGCGTCCGAAAAGTTGTCGGCGAACTCAGCGTTGACGGCGCGCTGGAGTGCGTCGCCGAACTCGCGGCACACACCAGCGCTGGACCACTGCAGACGCGTGGGATCCTCGGCAGAGGCGCCCATGTGATACGTAGTCGAGGGACCGACGAACGCGGAGGCCAGCGAGCGGCAGTTTGCTTCGCATGATCTTGGGGAGGCGTTTGACTTGCATTCCTTGGCGAACCATATTCGGGCTCTTGTCAGCAGAGACTCAGAAGGGAACGGCACCATTGTTGCCAGCGGCAGAAGCTTACTTCCAATAAGATCCAAT